GAAGCAAACTTTGCTCCAATAAATTTAAAGTTTGTAATAACACTGTCTTCTGAACCTACCCTGGCTCCCATACATTGCTGCTGGAAATGTAAAATCCTAAAGCCACTATGGAAAAGTATGGCAGTTTCTCAAAACATAAAGCATAGAGTTCCTATGTAACCCAGCAATTCCACTCCTAGGTATATATACCCAAGAGAACTGAAAACATATCTTCACAAAAAAATCTATGTACCAATATTCCTAGCAGCCTTATTCATAATAGCCAAAAACTGGAAATGACCTAAGTGTTCATCAACTCATGAATAGAAAAACAAATGTGGTCTAGTCATACAATGACAATAATTCAGCCATCAAAACTAAGAACAGATACACACAACCACACGGAGAACCTTGAAATCAGTATGTTAAGTGAAAGAAGCCAGTCACAACGGACCACATTACAGGATTCCATTTATACGAAATGTCCACAATAGGCCAATCCAGAGACAAAGCACATTCGTTATTGCCAGGAGCTGGAGGAAGGGTGGAACGAAGAGTGACTGCTAATGGGTGTAGGATGATCAAAGTATCCTAAAATTTGTAAAATGGCAATGATTGCACATCTCTGTAAATATTCTAAAAACCAATGAAATGTGCATTTTCAAAAGATTAAATATGTTCAGCGTGAATCTCAGAAACATTATTTTTTAAAAGAGAAAAAAAATGTTAGAAGTCCATAGTCTGAGGTTCTGGAAGTATGACCTCTTTTTCTCTTTTGCCTCAACCTCCCAAGTAGCTGGGACTACAGACACACGCCTCCATGCCCAGTTAATTTTGTTCACTGGACTTCTTGATAAAGCATCCAAGAAGCCCAAGGAAGGAAAACTTCCCTACTCACTGATAACCATTCAATTCATCAAATGTTTCTCTGAAATAAACCCACCATGCTGTGAAAAGGCAAATAATGATTATCACACCTAATAACACACACACACTCCCTAAAGACTTACTTTGATATGCTGTGATCTCTGGGCAGCATCCATCGGATGCAGGACCTGCAGCCCACACATGTCACAAGAATCTCCGTGGAGATACACACAGTTCTCCCCGTATCGGCACTCTCCCACTGCAGCATAGGGGCACAGCTGCTTCTTCGTCTCCACGGCGGTTTGCTCTTTCTCTGATTCTTCCTTGGTCACTGAGCCCTGCAGGGGTGCTTCAGTGCAGGAAGGTGCAGCTGAAAATGTGTAAGAGGGTGATAAAAGTCCAAACGATAAGGCAGATACATGAACTATAAGGGAACTGAGAATCTAACTTCAAAAAATGAAAATAAAACTGCAATTAAATACCAAAACAGTCTACTGAACTAATTTCTTCACTTGAAAGAAAGGAATGTTGGCCGGGCGCGGTGGCTCAAGCCTGTAATCCCAGCACTTTGGGAGGCCGAGACGGGTGGATCACGAGGTCAGGAGATCGAGACCATCCTGGCTAACATGGTGAAACTCCGTCTCTACTAAAAATACAAAAAACTAGCCGGGCGAGGCGGCGGGCGCCTGTAGTCCCAGCTACTCGGGAGGCTGAGGCCGGAGAATGGCGTGAACCCGGGAGGCGGAGCTTGCAGTGAGCTGAGATCCGGCCACTGCACTCTAGCCTGGGCTACAGATTTCTAACGCTGGTATTTCCAAGATTAGACTTGTAAAACAAAACAAAACAAAAAACACTGCTTCTTTATCTACGTCTTGGGTAATTGAAATTTAATTTCAAAAAGTACTCATTAAAGAGAGGATTCAGTTTTTCAAAACATTCTGAATTCATTTCACTGGGATTCAAAGTTTCCTTCACTCTATCTGTAAATCTTAGGTAATCCAAATTAAAGTACTGTACTAAGATTAAACTAAAAAAGGAATGGAATCAGAAAGGGGAAAGTTGTCAAAGCTAAGCAAATGGATGAACTGCTATCCAAGCCCTCTAACTCTTATTTTCTTCTTCAGAATACTTACTACGGCCACAGTAGGGTTGCCCAGGAAACTAAACTCAATAGCATTACCCAGTCCTCTGAACCTGCTCCTACGGGTTGTCAAAGTTTGAATTTTCTTTGACTCAGCTTCGCCTGTAGTTCATTCAACACAGTGGTCAAACAATTCGATGAAAGACTTTGAGGAAAGCAGCAAGGGATGACTTTGTAAGTTAGCTCTTGTAGCAGTGCTTCTTCCTGTTTCAATGGCTTGCTATGTTCTATAATCTATACGAAAAAAATCAAAAGTAAGCAGTTGGTCCGGTGCGGTGGTGGCTCCACGCCTATAATCCCAACACTTTCACGCAGAGGTCAGGAAGTTCCAGACCAGCCTGGCCTACATGTGTGAAACCCCATCTCTACTAAAAATGCAAAAATTAGCTGGGTATGGTGAGTGGGCAAACAAACACAACAACTCTGGTTAAAAGAATAATTCTTTTTAAAAAAATTATTTTTACACACTTTCTATCTTTTGTTTTCTTTGAGACAGGGTCTCGCTCTGTTACCCAGACTGGAATGCAGTGGCACGATCGCAACTCACTGCATTCAACCTCCCTGGGCTCCCCAGCAGCCGGGACCACAGGTACACACCACACACGCAGCTAATTTTTATTTTGTAAATACGGGGTTTTTGCATTGGTCTCCTGGGTTCAAGTGATCTGCCCCGCCCAGCCTAGTATAAATGTGTAAGGAAGTTTAATCAATTTTTCTGTCTCTGCGAGAGAAGACGCCCTCTCTTTCCCCAGCTGGTTTACAACCCCCACCCCATTGCTTCTGTGGCCTTTAGTATTTTAAAGTATCAGATTCTTCAGCTGGTCCAAAAGTCAAAACTCCAAACAAGAAGTCAGCTAAGCCAGCCCAGGCACAGTAGTTCACACCTGTAATTCCCAGCACTTTGGGAGCCAAGGCAGGCAGATCACTTGAGGGCAGGAGTTCGAGACCAGCCTGGCCAACATATTGAAACCCCATCTCTACTGAAAATAACAAAATTTAGCCAGGCGTGGTGGCACATGCCTGTAATCCCATCTACTTGGGAGGCTGAGGAGGAAGGTGGAGGTTGTGACACTGTGCCACTACACTCTAGTCTGGGCGACATAGCAAGACTGTTTAAAAAAAAAAAAAAGACCACTACACTCCAGTCTGGGCGACACAGCGAGACTGTCTTAAAAAAAGAAAGAAGTCAACCAAGCCAATATCGCCCCTTTCCCCAGAGGGTGTCCAGAAACAAAGACTGGAGTTCTAATGGCATTCTGGGAGAATACTAGGTATCTGCAATATGCGAAACAGTCCCAAAGAACAGTCCCAAAACAGCAACAAAGGAACTGGCCTCAACTAAACAACAGCACCATCATTACAAAACACTGATGCAGAAAATCCTCTGAACTGCTGTGGCTACGATGCTATCCTTCATTATCAATGATCTACTCCCTCTATGAAGAGGGAAATCCCTGGGCATTGAGCAAGTTACATAAAAGGATCCCAACACTAAGAGTAAGAAGTAGGTGGCCAGGCATGGTGGCTCATGCCTGTAATCCCAGCCCTTTGGGAGGTCAAGGCGGGTGGATGTCACCAGGTCAGGAGATCGAGACCATCCTGGCCAGCATGGTGAAACCCTGTCTTTACTAAAATACAAAAAAATTTAGCTGGGAATGGTGGTGGGCGCCTGTAGTCCCAGCTACTCAGGAGGCTGAGGTCGGGGAATCGCTTGAACCCAGGAAGCGGAGACTGAAATGAGCTGAGAATCATACCACTGCACTCCAGTCCTGGCGACAGAGTGAGACTCCGTCTCAAAAAAAAAAAAAAAAAAAAAAGAGTAAGGAGTAGGTTTAAGTTCCTAGATATAATTTAATAGGAAAACAAGATCACAGAGCAAGCCTCTCTTTAAGATTCCTTATTTAGCTAGTCCATAATCAATCTTTTAATAATCACCTATATCAGCTTGTAATCAACAATTATCACCAAACTTTCAAGTAGACTACTAGTATAGTTTCTCTACATTCTTTCACTTTATGCTATGAGATCTAAACCCAGCTCAATTCTGGCTCATCCTTTAAAGAGTTTTAGAAAAGAGGCAGCTATGGCCGGGTGCGGTGGCTCACACCTGTAATCTCAGTACTTTGGGAGGCCAAGACAAGGGGATCACAAGGTCAGGAGGAGTCCATCCTGGCTAACACGGTGAAACGCCATCTCTACTAAAAATACAAAAAATTAGCTGGGCATGGAGGCGTGTGCCTGTAGTCCCAGCTACTCGGGAGGCTGAGGCAGGAGGATGGTGTGAACCCGGGAGGTGGAGCTTGCAGTGAGCTGAGATCGCGCCACAGCACTCCAGCCTGGGCAACAGAGCGAGACTCTGTCTCAAAAAAAAAAAAAAAAAAAAAAAGAGGCAGCTACATCCTTATTAAAAAGAAAACTAAGAGGTCAGGAGGCCCAGTGGGTTCACACCTATGATCCCGGCATATTGGGAGGCAAGGGTGGGAGGATCAGTTGAGGCCAGGAGTTTGACACCAACCTGGGTGAGATAGGGAGACCCTGTCTCTACAAACAAAACAAAAAACTTAGCCAAAGGTGGTGGTTGCAGTGAGTCATGTTCACATCATCGCACTCTAACCTGGGCAAGGGAGCAAGACCAGATCTCAAAACAAAGAAAGAAACAAACAAAAAAAACAATTAAGGTTCCTTTCAGCTTTTTTTTTTTTTTTTTGAGACGGAGTTTCGCTCTTGTTGCCCAGGCTGGACCGCAATGGCACGATCTTGGCTCACCACAACATCCGCCTCACAGGTTTAAGTGATTCTCCTGCCTCAGCTTCCAAAGTAGCTGGGATTACAGGCATGCGCCACCATGCCTGGGTAATTTTGTATTTTTGGTAGAGACGCGGTTTTCCATGTTGGTCAGGCTGGTTTCGAACTACCCATCTCAGGTGATCCACTTGCCTCAGCCTCCCAAAGTGCTGGGATTAAAGGCGTGATCCACCATGACCAGCCGCCCCCCCCCCGCCCTTTTTTAAGATGAAGTCTCATTCTGTTGCCTAGATCTAGATTCACTGCAAACTCCACCTTCCGGGGTTCAAGTGATTCTCCCACCTCAGCCTCCCAAATAGCTGGGATTCCTGGCACATGCCACCATACCCAGCTAATATTTGTACTTTCAGTAGAGACAGGGTTTAACCATGTTGGCTAGGCTGGTCTTGAAATCCTGACCTCAAGTGATCCAACCGCCTCAGCCTCCCAAAGTGCGCGGATTACAGGTGTGAGCCACCGTGCCTAGTCCCTTTCAACTTTTAAGTTGAGCCATTTGCATCTGCCTCAACATCAGAGGCTCACCAAAATAGGGAACCTACCTAATTTCTTCTGGTCTCAAAACTATTTGGGGCTGGCAAAGTTGCCTGAAAAAATAAGCTGGTTAATATGCAAAGCCTAGGGCTTAGCACAGATGTCTTCAATTTAACCTTCAATTTTTCCATTCACTCATCCACACAGTCCATTCAGATGAGCACTTCTTCTGAAATAGGGACCAAATGCTAATTAACTATAGCCTTCTGATTCTATCTCAAAGTCTATTCTCATCCCTCTGCTTGGGAGGTTGGATTCTTCACTCTCATCAATATTCAACTCCTCCTGCCCCAGTAACAGTTGGCAGTAACTCTCAAAAGACTGGAACCCAGTTCAAGGAACACAGCTCCCTTACAATTAGCCTCAATACCTGCAGAGACTGTACCACCACAAAGATTCCCCATTCATCACTGTAGGGTGAAGTTCTCACTACTTTTTCTGCCTTTTATAGTGGGACTGCAGAAGACATGTCTAGTGGAGAGGCCGGGCGCCGTAGCTCACGCCAACACTTTGGGAGGCCAAGGCAGGTGGATCACCTGAGGTCAGGAGTTCAAGACCAGCCTGGCTGACATAGCGAAACTATCTCTACTAAAAATGCAAAAATTAGCTGGGTGTGGTGGCGCATGCCTGTAATCCCAGCTACTCGGGAGGCTGAGGCAGGAGAATTGCTTGAACCAGGGAGTCGGAGGTTGCGGTGAGTCAAGATCATGCCACAGCACTCCAGCCTGGTGACAGAGTAAGACTCTGTATCAAAAAAAAAAAAAAAAACAAAAAAGACATACCTGGTGGAGAGTTTGAGAATAATGTCACTGTGTCATTTTCCCCCTTTTCAGCAATACTCTAATGACAAATTAGCAGAGGGCAAAATGAATAACAACTAAATAAAGTTTTCATGGGATCAACTTCTGAAATCCTACAGTCATTTGAAAAAGATCTTCTCTTCACCCCCATCTTGACTGGACTCTCTAATAAACAGATGTGGGATGACTTAATATTAATATCCCACCCCATCAATAATGTCAGGTTCTGAACTCTAATCATTTGAACCCAGTGACTCACACTAGATTTTCTGATAATGACAGTAGAATTGACTATGACACCAGGCGCGGTGGCTCATGCCTGTAATCCCAGTCCTTTGGGAGGCCGAAATGGGCGGATCACGAGGTCAGGAGATCGAGACCATCCTGGCTAACACGTTGAAACTCCACCTCTACCAAAACCACAAAAAATTAGACAGGCATGGTGGCGGGCGCCTGCAGTCCCAGTTACTCGGGAGGCTGAGGCAGGAGAATGGCATGAACCCAGGGGGCGGAGGTTGCAGTGAGTTGAGATCGCGCCACTGCACTCCAGCCTGGGCGACAGAGCCAGACCCATCTCAACAACAACAAAAAAACATTGACTATAACACTGTCAAGTCTTACCGAGGGTAGTGGTTTAAAGTATGTGCAAAACTCTTTGACATGTCTCCCTTCAAAAGTTGGAGCCCAATCCTCTCCCTTTACATGTGGGCTGGACTTAGTCCAGAATCAGTGGAAGTGACACTACATGACTCCCGACACTAGGTCATAAAAGGCATTGTGGTGTCTCCTTTGTTAAATTGTTTGCTCTAGGGAAAGCTAGCTGCCAAGCAGCAAGGACACTAAAGCATCCCTATGAAAAGGCCCATGTGGGCCAGGCATGGTGGCTCAGGCCTTAATCCCAGCACTTTGGGAGGCAGAGGCAGGCAGGCAGACTGCCTGAGCGCAAGTGTTGAGACCAGCCTGGCCAACAACATGGTAAAACCCCCTCTCTACTAAAAATACAAAAGTTAGTGGGGTGTGTGGGCCGGGCGTGATGGCTCATGCCTATAATCCCAGCACTCTGGGAGGCTGGTGTGGAATGGTCAGGAGATTGAGACCATCCTTTCAACAAGGTGAAAACCCTGTCCCTACTAAAAATACAAAAATTAGCTGGGCGGGGCAGTGCATGCCTGTAATCCCAGCTACTCGGGAGGCTGAGGCAGGAGAATTGTTTGAACCTGGGAGGCAGAGGTTGCAGTGAGCTGAGATCGTGCCATTGCACTCCAGCCTGGGTGACAAGAGCAAGACTCTGTCTTAAACAAAACAAACCAAACAAACAAAAAACCAAACCAAACAAACAAAAAACAATCCTGGCTGGGCATCGTGGCTCATGCCTGTAATCCCAGCACTTTGGGAAGCCGAGGTGGGTAGATCACTTGAGGTCAGCAGTTTGAGACTAGCCTGGCCAACATGATGAAACCCTGTCACTACCAAAAATATAAAAAATTAGCCGGTCATGGTGGCACACAGCTGTAATCCCATCTACTCGGGAAACTGCGGCAGGAGAATTGCTTGAATCTGGGAGGCAGAGGTTGCAGTGAGCCCAGATCTTGCCACTGCACTCCAGCCTGGGCGACAGAGGAACGAGACTCTGTCTCACAAAAAAAAAAGAAAGAAAGAAAAAAAAAAAAAATATATATATATATATATATATATCCTGGAGTCCCCATCAAGTCTTCAGATGACTACTACCCTTGTTAAAATTTTGACTACCATCTCTTAAGAGTCTCTGAGCTAGAACCATCCAGCTAAGGCACTCAGAATCCACAACCCCAGAAACTGAGTTAATAAATGTTCACTGTTTTAAGTTACTCAATTTGGGGGTGGATCAGGTTCCGTGGCTCATGTCTGTAATCCCAACACTTTTCCCGAGGCCAAGGCAGGAAGATTGTTTGAGCCCAGGAATCTGAGACCAGCCCATGCAACATAGCGAGACCCCCATCTCTACAAAAAATTAAATTTGAGGGTTACTTGTTTAACATCCATAGATAATACACCTAAGACATTTCTGAACTAGGAAGACAGAAAAGCCCTACCCAATTTTCTTTTTAAGGTGGAGTCTCACTGTGTTGCCCAGGCTGGAGTGTAGTGGCAGGCTCTTGACTCACTGCAGCCTCCATCTCCCGGGTTCATGCAATTCTCCTGCTTCAGCCTCCGAAGTAGCTGGGATTACAGATGCACACCACCATGCCCAGCTAATTTTTCTATATTTTGTAGACACGAGGTCTCACTAGGTTACCCAGGCTGGTCTCAAACTTCCAAGCTCAAGCAATCCTCCTACCTCAGCCTGCCAAAGTGCTGGGATTATAGGCATGAGCCACTGCCCAGTCAAGAGTCATTTTCAAAGCATTATTTTTAATCAATGACATATAAAGCTATCAGAATTACGTCTTTTACATTTTTCCTCCAACCCACCCCTGAACAAATTTATAAACAAATTCTTACCTGCAGCGGTCTCCATAAATACAGTACCCTCGCTGAAAATACTTGCACACTACACTATACGGACTGTCAGAGAGGTCATGCGAGTAGCGACAGTTGTCTCCTTCCTTACAAACCCCATGCATAAAATACCTGTGAGACAAAGGACCACAAAACTAGATTAAAACCAATCCTTGAAAAGATTAAAACCAATTAGTATTCATGGCTAATATATTCAACCATCAAATACATAAACACACGAAATAAACACAAAGAAAGGGCCGGGCTCGCTGCCTCATGTCTGCAATCCCAGCACCTTTGGGAGGCTGAGGTGGACAGATCACGAGGTCAGGAGATCAAGACCATTCTGACTAACATGGTGAAACACTATCTCTACTAAAAATAAAAAAATTAGCCAGGCGTGGTGCAGGCGCCTATAATCCCAACTACTCGGGAGGCTGAGGCAGGGGAATCGCTTGAACCCGGGAGGCGGAGGTTGCAGTGAGCCAAGAGCCTGCCACTACACTCCAGCCTGGGCAACACAGTGAGACTCCACCTTAAAAAGAAAATTGGGTAGGGCTTTTCTGTCTTCCTAGTTCAGAAATGTCTACATGTATTATCTATGGATGTTAAACAAGTAACTCTCAAATTTAATTTTTTGTAGAGCTGGGGGTCTCGCTATGTTGCATAGGCAGGTCTCAGATTCCTGGGCTTGAGATGGCGCCACTGAGCCACTGCACTCCAGCCTGGGCAACAGAGAGAGACTCCACCTCAAAAAGAGAGAAAAAGAAAAAAAAAAGATAGTCTACGTCAAAGAATTTCTCCTCCAAACAAAACCCAATGAATATAAGTAGGTGTCTTGTTTTTAAATGACACCACCAAAAAAAAAAAACCATCATCCAAATTCACCTTAATGTCACTACCCAAGTTGAGTTTGCCTTCGGTGAAAGCCTGGGCCATATATTATTTCTGAAGTTCCTTCCACCGTGCAGACTGACTCCATGAGAGACACTGTCCAGTAATAAAGACAAAATTTACTAGAATCCCCCTACTGCTGTGCCTCTTAGAAACCTAATAGTGGCCTCCAAGATAGAAAACAAACTGCCAAGTTACCCTGTAAGGGTACAAGAGAACCATACAGCACCCTCAGAGTATCTCTAGGCATCTTAACAACCTCTTTAGGAATTTCTATAAATTATAGATATGGCATTTAATCAATTCATCTGCAGTGACATTTCTTACTTTGATATTTAACTTTTAATGAGTGAGTACACTGTTTATCAAACTAGATTATAAATTCCTGATGGGTAAAGACTGGTTTATTCCCCCTATTACCTCCTACTATCTGTGCACATAATATGTACTTGTCAGATAAAGGTAGAAGGCTGGGCGCGGTGGCTCCCGCCCGTAATCCCAGCACTTTGGGAGGCCAAGGCAGGTGGATCACCTGAGGTTGGGAGTTCGAGACCAGCCTGACCAACATGGTGAAACCCGTTCCTACTAAAAATACAAAATTAGCTGAGCGTGGTGACACAAGCCTGTAATCCCAGCTACTCAGGAGCCTGAGAGGAGAATCACTTGAACCCAGGAGGCAGCGGCTGCAGCGAGCTGAGACTGCACTGAGCCAATATTGTACCACTGCACTCTAGCCTGGGCAACAAGAGCAAAACTCCATCTTAGATTAAAAAAAGACAGAGAGAGAAGAAAAAGAAAAAGGTAGAAGAGCCGGGGTGGTGGTCATGCCTGTAATTCCAGCTACTCTGGAGGCTGAGGTGGGTGGATAGCTTGAGGCCAGGCCAGGAGTTCAAGGCCAGTCTGGGCAACACCCTATCATAAAACAAAAAAAAGTAAATAGAATAAAAGGCTATATAGCCCGGTATGGTGGCTCACGCCTGTATTCCCAGCACTTTGGAAGGCTAAATTGGGCGGATCATCTGAGATCGGGAAATAAAAAAAAAAAAAAAGAAAGAAAAAAGAAAGAATAAAAGGCTGTAGGGTGGGCCCCGAGGCTCACACCTATAATCCCAGCACTTTGGGAGGCTGAGGCGGGTAGATCACCAGAGGTCAGGTGTTCAAAACCAGCCTGGCCAACATGGTGAAACCCTCTACCTACTAAAAATACAAAAATTAGGCCGGGCATGGTGGCTCACACCTGTAATCCCAGCACCTTGGGAGGCTGAGGGAAGTGGATCACGACGTCAGGAGATCGAGACCATCCTGGCTAACACTGTGAAACCCTGTCTCTACTAAAAATACAAAAAACCAAAAAATTAGCCAGGCATGGTGGCACGCACCTGTAGTCCCAGCTACTCGGGAGGCTGAGGCAGGAGAATTGCTTGAACCCGCGGTGGGTGGGGGGCCCAGAGGTTGCAGTGAGCCAAGATCATGCCACTGAGACTCCGTCTCAAAAAAAAAGAATAAAAGGCTGTAGAAGACAGCTAGATGTGATGGTGAATCACGGTACCAATAGCAAATTAATTTTTCTTTCCCAGCTGCATAACCTTTTAATACCATCTAAATATTTATTACTTATTTCCTCTCACAATCACTAGGTAGTTTCCAAGTAATAAATTTCACTATGGACATCACAGCACTCAGATAAAGAATTTCTAGAAGGATTTCCTTCTTTCTTTCTTCTTTCTTTTTTTTTTTTGAGATGAAGTCTCGCTCTGTCACCCAGGCTGGAGTGCAGTGGCAGTCTTGGCTCACTGCAACCTCCGCCTCCTGGGATCAAGCAATTCTCCTACCTCAGCCTCCAGAATGGCTGCAATTACAGGCGCCCGCCACCACGCCCAGCTAATTTTTGTATTTTTAGTAGAGACGAGGTTTCATCATGTTGGCCAGGTTGATCTCGAACTCCTGACCTCAAGTGACCCGCCTGCCTTGGCCTCCCAAAGTGCTGGAATTATAGGCGTGAGCCACCATGCCCAGCCGATTTTTAAGTTATGTTAACCACATTTTTCAAAACTTTTGAGACCAGGTACGGTGGCTCATTCCTGTAATCCCAGGACTTCGGGAGGCCGAGGCGGGTGGATCACCTGAGGTCAGGAATTCAAGACCAGCCTGTGCAACATGGTGAAACCCCATCTCTACTAAACATAAAAATAATTAGCCGGGCGTGATGGCACGCACCTGTAATCCCAGCTCCTCAGGAGGCTGAGGCACCAGAATTGCTTGAACCCAGGAGGCAGAGGTTGTAGTGAGCCGAGATCATGCCACTGCACTCCAGCTTCGGCTACAGAGAGAGACTCTGTCTCAAAAAAAAGAACAACTTTCAAGACCGAGCATGGTGGTTCACACCTGTAATTCCAGCACTTTGGGAGGCCAAGGCGGGTGAAACACACTCGAGCTTAGGAGTTCAAGACCAGCCTAGGCAACAGGGTGAAACCCTGTCTCTACCAAAAATGCAAATATTAGCCAGGGTGGTGGCATGTGCCTGTAATTCCAGCTACTGGGGAGGTTCAGGCGGGAGGATTGCTTGATTGCTTGAGCCTGGGAGGTGGAGGCTGCAATGAGCCAAGACACTGCCATTGCACTCCAGCCTAGGGGACAGAGAGAAACCCTATCTCAAAAAATAAAAATAAAAGAGTTTTTTGGAAAATCAAAAAACCTTTGATTTTTGTGTATTATTTCAACTACCAGAACACTCATCTACCATTACAGAAGCACTCTAATAAAGCGGGGTCTAAATTCAAATTACAACTTCTCTTTAAGTATTAACTGTTCTAACTGCACACACTCAAGGTAACTCAAGGTAGCAGATGCAATGAGCATATTTCTATTTCTTAGTATTCCTGTAATAAAAGATACGAAAAACAGCCTGGTGGTGGCAGCATAACACAGTTTCTGAGGAAAGGTATTCTTAGGTTTTACTTAAGCAGCAGAAGTAAAACACAATGAAAACCTCGGGAGAAACATCAGAAAAAATGTAACCAGTAAGAAAATACAGGTGATTCTGAGCAATTAAAAACATTCTAATCAAAACTAACTTAAGAGGATTACACCCTAAGTGAAGAAAACAGCTTTAGTCAAATTCCTAGATACAGGAGGGATGTGCTATAGGGAGAAATCAGCACAAACACTAAACCACACCTCTACCTGATTCTCTTTAGGGGACGTTTACCTAGAAAACATTGAAAATGTTTATTTATAATATAGTATACACGTCTGCACTCTCTTGAGCACCTAATATTGTGTCTCCCATTGCTGGCGTGCAATGTTTACTTACTGAATGACTGAACAAGGTCAAGTTCCAGAAAGACACACATGTGGCCGGGCATAATCCCAGCTACTCAGGAGGCTGAGGCAGAAGAATCGCTTGAACTCGGGAGGCAGAGGTTGCAGTGGGCCGAGATCTTGCCACTGCATTCCAGCCTGGGCAACGGAGCACGATTCCGTCCCAAAAAAAGAAAGAAAGAAAGAAAACAACCACTGCACTCCAGCCTGGGAAACAGAGCGAGATTCCGTCCCAAAAAAAAAAAAAAAAAGAAAGAAAACAACAAAGATACACATGTGTTCTATTAAGTACTTTGTCTTTAGTAATTTACAATTTTTTTTTAAATGAAAGGAGAAGAAGTTCCTGTTAAAGTGGGTAATTCTAGGTATGGCTTTATCAACATCATTCAAGCATTTACTGAGTATCTGCTCTATGCCAGGAACTGAGGAAAGTCCTGCAGATAAAATAGGGCCCTGCTCTTCTCAGAGAGCTCAAAGTGTACAATACAGATCATAGGCCGGGGGCAGTGGCTCACGCCTGTAATCCCAGCACTTTGGGAGGTCAAGGGGGGGGCAGATCACCTGAGGTCGGGAGTTCAAGACCAGCCTGACCAACATGGAGAAAGCCCTCTACTAAAAACACAAAATTAGCCGGGTGTGGTGGTGCATGCCTGTAATCCCAGCTACTGAGGCATCTGTAATCCCAGAGACTGAGGCAGGAGAATCAATAAAACCTGGGAGGCAGGGGTTGTGGTGAGTAGAGAGCACACCTTTGCACACCAACCTGGGCAACAAGAGGGGGACTGTCTCAAAAAAAAAAAAAAAAAAAAAAAAAGCTCATAGTTGACATTCCTCTATCCAAATGAGAAAATAGTTTTTACTAAGAGATCATGTTGGTACCTAGAACAACCGAAAACAATGTCAAACACTAAAATCCCAGACCTATCAAGTAATCTGCACAACAACAACAACAAAAGTCTCAAGCAAAAGCTATACAAAAAAACCCCAAAAACTGGTAAATCTAAGGTCTTTTTTTTTTTTTCCGCAGAGTTTCACTTTCGCCCAGGCTGGAGTGAAGTGGTGTGATCTCGGGTCACCGCAACCTCCGCCTCCTGGGTTCAAGCAACTCCCTGCCTCCGCCTCCCGAGTAGCTGAGATTACAGGGGCCTGATACCACGCCCGGCTAACGTTTTTTGTATTTTTAGTAGAGACGGGGTTTCACCATCCTGGCCAGGCTGGTCTTGAACTTCTCACTTCGTGATCTACCTGCCTTGGCCTCCCAAAGTGCTGGGATTACAAGTGTGAGCCACCGTTCCCGGCCTAATTTTCATATTCTTAGTAGAGACAGGATTTCACCCTGTTGGCCAGACTGGTCTCAAACTCCTGACCTCAGGAGATCCGCCTCTGCCTCTCCAAATGCAGGGATTACAGGCGTGAGCCACCGCCGACCTAGCCACCCGGACAGGCCGGCTTCAATTTTAAAAAGACGTAACTAGCACATATAAATCAACTGTAGCATTGTAAAAGGGAAACAGATACTCAAATAATTTGCTCCATGAGTAGAAACTTTAAAATCATCATTCCTTGCAATATTCCATTTTTACAATCCACCGATGAATAAGACAAGTGATCTAAAATTGCGTTTCTGCTTTCTACATCCCATTATGTAAAATAATTAAGCTTATTTTTCACACCTCAAATGTATCATATCAAAGGCTGAGAGAGCTTCAAAGGTCGCCAGGATAAATGTATCCCAGCAAAGACTGGGAAGGTTTCAAATTTCACCCTTAATACTACAAGTTCTTATTAGGAATCATTTTTACATACTTGCATTTAAATTACACCACCTAGGTGAAAACCGGCATTTCAGCTGATTTATTCAACTGATAGAAAATGAAAAGCTTACAGTCGCTACTGATCACTATTTAAAAACTGGAATATAAAAAACGTACAATTAAATGCCCTCTTCTGCGTAGAGCTAGTTTTTTTTACAAGCGTACACATCCATACAACCGCCATCCCTTAATTTTTCTAATATTTAAGTCTCGCATATCAAACCAAAACCAAACCTCTCTCTTCCGGGAGCGAAGAGCCCTTTCACGCCCTTCAGAAGATGCGTAAATTTCAAAAGAGGAACACAGTGCTGGGGGAGGGTAATAATCTGCAGCTCAAAAACCCACGGGTGGAGAAGACGACCCCGGCCCCCGAACGCCTGCTTCTAAGACAAAGCTCGCACCGCCAACCTCGACAAACAAACAAAGAAGAAATACAAAAGCTTCTTCTCACAGTTGGGCGGAGGATGGGGGGCGGAGGGACCGAGGGACGTGGAAAGACGTTACAAACGGATGGCACGGAGGAAGAAGAGGGCCGGGAGCCAGGCAAGCTCGCTGGGGCCCTCGGCGGGGTATCTAGGCCCGGAGAGGATCGCTGGGAGACCGGCTGGAAGAGCCCACCTCCCGAGCCCCGGGAGCCGGAGGCAGCGGCGGGGGCATCCTTCCAGCGGCAGGGGAGGAGCCAGCCCACCTCTCTCCGATGCACTCGCAGCCAGCTCAGGCAGCGCTCAGGGAAGGGTAAGCGGCGGTGCAGTCCCGCGGCTCCGCAGCAATCGCGCACCGCCAGGCCTCCGCGGACAGCGCTGAGGTCTCCGCGGCCCAGCGGGGGTTGACGCAGTGACTGGGGGAACGCGGCGGCGGCGGCGGCGGCCGCGAGGGCTGCAGAGGTCGAGACAACGCCGGTCCCCGCCCTCCCGCGCCTCACGCCGCCGGCCGGCCGCTCTCCCTCCTCCCGCGCCGCAGGCTCGGCCCGCGGCCCCCTCCCCGCGGCCGGCGCTCCGCCGCGCAACGTCCTACCTGCAGGTGACCTGTTTAGTCCAGCCGCCGCCGCTGCCGTCGCTGCCGCCGCCCCCTCCGCCCGCCCCCAGGGACGGGGCGGTGACTGTGGGGATCGGGGTGGGGGAGGCTGCTGCCGCCGCCGCCGCTGCCGCTCCTGCTCCTGATGTTGTGGCTGTTGTTCCGGGAGCTGCAGCCTCCGCCATTACTGTTTATCCCACACAGCAAAGGCCCCGGAACTTCCGGGATCACATAGTTCCGGTCCGGCTGCGGGGAGAGGACGGCGAGGCCAGGAGAGGGGAGGGGAAGGACACTGAGGCACCCGCTCCGTCCCCGCCTGCTATGCGTCGCTTCTCTGAGCGCTCTCGCCACTTCAACTGCGGGCCCGGAGCGTGCGCGCCCGCGGCCCGCCCACGGCGCCGCTGATTGGTGGAGGGGACGTCTCCTCCGGGAAAGGGGCGGGGCTAGCGGGGGGTCTGTACAGGTGTGTCCTGGGCTCGAAACCCCAGCGACGAAAGTCCGCAGTTAGCGGCTTGCTTCCTGGCAGAGGCTGATATAGTGGAGCGGGGGCTGGGGCCACTAGGAACCCGCAGTCGGAAGACCTGGGTTTGAATCTGCACTTTCCCAATTCTCTAGTAAGATTTGAGCTAGGTACCTGTTCTGAGCCTCAGTTTCAGCCTCTCTCAAATCAGGATGACAGCAGACCCACATATGGTTGCTGTGAGGATTACATGATGTCTTTAGAAATCACTGAACTTAGTGCCTGGTACATGGTAAACAGTTAATAAAGGTTATATCATTCCTGGTATCAGAGATGTGATCTTGGCCAAGTATTTTGGCTGAGCAATGGGCTGTTCCCCTTATCTCCCGGCTTCCCTTTCTAAGCTATGTGTGTCTTCCAGCAAATTATCCTACCTCTTGGTGCTCCTGCTTTCTCCTCTGTAAAAATGACAATAATAATAATAATAATAATAATAATAACAGTCCAGGCGCGGTGGCTCACGCCTGTAATCCCAGCACTTTGGGAGGCCAGTGTGGGTGGATCACCTGAGGTCATGAGTTGGAGATCAGCCTGGCCAACATGGTAAAACCCCTGTCTTTACTAAAAATACAAAAATTAGCCGGGTATAGTGGCTAGTCCCAGTTACTCAGGAGGCTGAGGCAAGATAATTCCTTGAACCCGGGAGGCAAAGGTTGCAGTGAGCTGAGATTGCGCCACACTGCACTCCAGCTTGGCGGCAGAGTGAAACTCCATCTCAAAATAATAGTAATAATAGATAATAGTACCTACTCTAGAGATGGCTGTGAAAATTAAATGAGAGTCTGTTTAAAAACCTTTGCATTGGCTGCGCGCAGCGGCTCACGCCTGTAATCTCAACATTTTGGTAGGCCGAGGGGGCGGATCACGAGGTCAGGAGATTGAGACCATCCTGGCTAACACGGTGAAACCCCGTCTCTACTAAAAAATACAAAAATATTAGCCGGGCGTGGTGGCAGGCGCCTGTAGTCCCAGCTACACGGGAGGCTGAGGCAGGAGAATGGCGTGAACCCAGGAGGTGGAGCTTGCAGTGAGCCAAGATTGGGCCACTGCACTCCAGCCTGGGCGACAGAGCAAGACTCCGTCTCAAAAAAAACAACAACCCTTTGCGTTGTGCTTTTCACACTGCAGTGAATATAAAATGAGTAACAAAATATGTCTGGAATATCCTAGCTTTTTTTAAATGCATCTTTAAATTGTATATATTTAAGGTGTAAAACATTGTTTTAATATACACGTACATAATGAAGTGATTACTACAGTCAAGCAGATTTAGCATATCACCTCACATGAATATTTTGTGTATGTGTTTGTGGTAAAAACCCAAGCTCTACTCTTAGCAATTTTCCAGTATACAATACGATATTATCTATTAACAATAATCATAGTCTTCATGTGGTACATTAGATATCTAGACTTATTCATCCTACGCAGCTGCAACTTTGTCCCCTTTGACCTAGATGTCCCCACTCCCCACTCCGCTCCTGGTAAACCAGTGTTCTACTCTGTTTCTATGTATTCAACTTTTTCACATCTTCACATATAAGTGAGATAATGTAGTATTGTTCTTTGTGTCTGGCTTATTTCGTTTAGCATAATGTCCTGCAGGTTTATCCATGTTGTGGCAAATAAAGGCTACCATACAGGTAGTAACCTTCAGAGACACAATAGGTGGTAAATGTTTCTTTCAGACTTTCAAAGTTGTCAGACTCTCAGTTAATATCTCCTAGATCTGGGGAAGGGAGCAGCCAAAGAAGTCTCTTGTAAATACAGCCTTCTATTTTATGGCTTAGAAATAAGGCATATCCTAACTTCTAAGGATTACTTCTTTGTTTTGTTTTGTTTTGTTTTGTTTTTGAGACGGAGTCTCGCTCTGTCACCAGGCTGGAGTGCAATGGTGCAATCTCGGCTCACTGCAACCTCTGCCTCCCGGGTTTAAGCGATTCTCCTGCCTCAGCCTCCCAAGTAGCTAGGACTACAGATGCGTGCCACCACACCCAGCTAATTTTTTGTATTTTTAGTAGAGACAGGGTTTCACCACGTTGGCCAGGATGGTCTGGATCTCTTGACTTCATGATCCTCGCCAACCCCCCCGCCTAGGCCTCTCAAAGTGCTGGGATGACAGACGTGAGCCACTGCGCCCAGCCTGGGTTACTTCTAAAACTATGAAAAGTTAAGTGTACTTAACTTTTAATTTTGTTTAGAGATGGGGTCTCACTATATATTGGCCAGGCTGGTCTCCAGCACCTGGGCTCAAGTGATGTTCCTGCCTTGGCCTCCCTAAGTGCTGGGATTAGAGGCATGAGCTACCACTCCAGGCCTTAGAGCGTATTTAATTATTTTCCCCATAAGGCCTACTGTCCACTAAGATGCAACATATTAAACTCTGAGCTTCCATAGGCAGTTTTTCATAAGCCCTTAAGTTCGACTTTTCTGTAGTCTCTACTTGAGAAAGTGAAAATCAGCCTATTGATCATCAGACCACAATGCGCCCAACGCAGGCAAACAAAGAAGGTGGCAAAAACAACAGAAAAGAATGCATCTCCCAAGGCCACACCACAGCAAGATAACTAATAATTCCCTTGAAGGAAACCAAAATATTTCACTTCACCTCAAAATATATACTTCTGGCCAGGTGTAGTGGCTCATGCCTGTAATCCCAGCACTTTGGAATGCAGAGGTGGGCGGATCGTGTGAAGTCAGGAGTTCGAGACCAGCCTGGGCAACATAGCGAAATCCCCGTGTCTACTAAAAATACAAAAATTAGCTGGGCTTGATGGCGGGCGTCTGTAATCCCAGCTCAGGAGGCTGAGGCAGGATAATCTCTTGAACCTGGGAGGCGGAGGTTGCAGTGAGCCGAGATCACACCACTGCACTCCAGCCTCGGCAACAGAGTAAGACTCCATCTCAAAAATAAATAAATTAGTTAATTAAACTTATTTGACATATTTTATTATTTCATAATAAAAAAGAAAAAGAAGATACCTCTTCAGAAGGGTTGGAAATACAAGAATAGAAGGAAAGCTGTCTTTCATGGGAAAGACGTGCATCTGTAGAGAAAATCTGCCCTGAGGCAGCCAGGATTTCTTTGGAGCCCTCCCTTCCCCAGATGTAGAAACATTAGCTGAGAGCCTGACAACTTTTAAAGCCTGAAGGAATATTTACTACCTATTTTGTCTCTGAAGGCTGCTACCTGTGTGGTTTCAATGACCTAACAGACCACTGTGGCTAGCCAGGCTTCAGCTTCTCTCCATCCCATAACTGCTGGCCACCATATGATTTACCCTTATATCCTGTTTTGGGGTATGTTCCCCATTCTTTCAGTAACATCAAGATGGAATATAACCTTCCCTTCCCCGTTGAGGGGCTGGGATCATCACTCTCTTATTCTCCCTGTGCGCATTAATAACTTTGTATGCCTTTTCACCAATTAATCTGCCAGGGTTTTTGTTTGTTTGTTTGTTTTGAGACAGGGTCTTGCTCTGTCGTGCAGGATTAAGTGCAGTAGTGCAATCTCGGCTCACTGCAATCCCCCCACCTCTCGGGCTCAAGCGATCCTCCTGCCTCAGTCTTCCGTGTAGCTGAGACCACAGGTACACACCCCTATGTCCAGCCAATTTTTGTATTTTTGGTAGAGACAGGGTTTCGCCATGATGTCCTAGCTGGTCTCGAACTCCTGGGCTCAAGCAATCTTCTCGTCTTGGCCTCCCAAAGTTCTAGGACTACAGCCTCTCGGAGGACTGGGATCTTTGCAGAGATATATCCCAAGTGACTAGAATAGTGTCTGGCATATAGTAGGTGCTCAATCTCTGATGTTATCAAAATTACCCAGCAATAAATACTATGCCTTGGCTCACCATTCATACCAAACAAAAGTAACAACGTGTTGTATTAAAAGGAACAAAATAAACAAAAGCCATCTCTCCTTTAGTGTGCGGGGGTAAACATGAAGCAAAAGGGCAATTCATGCATTTATTTCCTACCAAACTATTTATTAGGGACCCTACTGTGCCCAGCACTACATAGCCAGGTGTTTTTTGTTGCTGTTGTCGTGTATATGTATGTGTTTGTGTGTGTTTGTGGGATGGAATCTCGCTCTGTCGCCCAGGCTGGAGTGCAGTGGTGTGATATCAGCTCACAGCAACATTTGCCTCCTGGGTTCAAGCGGTTCTCCTGCCTCAGCCTCCCGAGTAGCTGGGACTATAGGAGCCCACCACCATGCCCAGCTAATTTTTGTATTTTTAGTAGAGATGGGGTTTCACTACGTTGGTAAAGATGGTCTGGAACTCCTGACCTCAAGTGATTGGTCCACCTCCTCCTCCCAAAGTGCTGGGATCACAGGCATGAGCCACCATGTCCGGCCTGTGTTTTTGTTTGTTTTTAATAGAAACCAGGCTGGTCTTATCCCCCCTTCCCTTCCCACGCCTTGGCCTCCCAAAGTGCTAGGATGATAGCCTTGAGCCACCATGCCTGGCCTAGGTTCTTAATTGTAGGCGGAGTAAAGCCTTGGTGTGATGTGAAGGTACCCAGAACTTTCTCCGATTACTAATGCCTTCTCAGATGCCAAAGTCCAGAGGGGGATGCCTGTATGCTGGGAAGGACTCCAGTAGGAGCAGAAGATCTTTGCCTCATCCATCTCCACTGACTGGGGTTAAGGCCAGTAAAGGAACACAGGGAACTTCACCCCAAAATATGACTCCCTGGTATAATGAGTCTTTTGAAATAAATATGCCCTAGAGATCAACAGGGTCGGAAGAGACTTCCCCAATCTACATAAAGACCCAAGGACCCTCCAAGAGCAATTGTTTTTCCTCCCCCTGTCTATTATCTTTTGATCTTTTGCAGGAAGGAAGACCAAGAATGTAATCACATCAGAACAGATTCTTTT